CGGCCGGCCCCGCGCCCCGACTCAAACCCGGACCCTCCCGCCCGCGGCCGACGCTCCGACCACCGAGCAAACTGTCCAGGGCTACGAACTGCTTTTTAATCATGATCTGGAAATAAAGGCAACAAATACTTAGTGATCTTTTTATTAATGTGAATATTCTCAGGGTGAATTAACTGAGTCTGGAAACAGCAACAAAAATATTATTCGCATATTTTATAACTCTGGAACCTGAAATAAAACTGTCAAAACATTAAAAAGTTGCAAATTTTCATTAGGAGGATTTACATTTTCATTCTAATGCCAATTTATAGATGTAATTCTTTTAGAAAATTCTGAAATATGAAAATAAGTTACAACACACTCATGAATAAGAATTCAACTATTACCGTTCCCAATGCAGATATTTATCAGTGGCCAACAGAGCTCCTAGTTCCCTTTGCGTTTTCACCCTTTATTGGTTCCTCATTAGTGTATCACTGTAAAGCTTTCACAGCCACAAACCACTGCCGTGGAGCATTTCACCAAACTCGTGATGCCTCTGTAACCAGCAAAACTAACCCAATTTTATTTTTAAAAATGTTTTTAGAGGGGAAGGGAGAGGGAGAGAGAAACATCAATGTGAGAGCGGAACAGTGATTTGCTGGCCCCTGGGATCGAGCCCACAACTGGGGCTTGTGCCCTGACCAGGCCTTGAACCCACCCTTTTGGAGCCCAGGACAGTGCCCAACCAGCAACCACACGGGCCAGGGCAAGGCTAATCGCTAACTTTCAAATGCACCCAACTTTGTCAGTCACTAAAAACTAAATATTTTTACGTTACAATAAGAAAACATTTAAGTTTTGGAGAAAAAATTTCTTGGTTAGTCCCATTGTGTTTTAAAAGGCGTTTTCTTTGTACTTCAAAAGCGGATTAGAAAATGGCCAACACCTTTTAGAAGCCAAGGAGGATTGTTTTGTGATCATCCTGACGTCTGTACGCCCCTAGGTCGAGCAGTTTTACATCGTCTCTCCATACTTATTTTAGCATTTTGTAAAGGTAACCCTGTTGGTCAGTCTCGCTCAGTATTTCTAGTCAACCCTAGGAGGAGTCATTAATTTATCAGAAGTAGCAACTGATTAGTGCAAGTCCACGGTCGCTCACGGCCGGGGGTGTGCTGCTCAAATACCTATTTGTTTATAGGCGCTCGTGTCACAGGGCTGGGCACTAGCAACATTTACACTACTGTGTGGTACAAATTTCATCAACTCCACACACTCCTGACACTGACAGCCGGCCCCGGGACACTCAGGAGGAAGCGGACAGCGGACCCTTCCCTGGTCAGAGGACGGGATGGAGAGGGCCAGCTTCCCGGGGTCTCCAGTGGACTGAGCACCCGGGGGGCACAGGTCTGGACAGCAAGACACCAGGCATGGCCCAGCTGATCGCAGACAGACACAGGCTTTCCCCACGGCCCCTGAAGAGGCAAGTCGACACCTCCGTGGGGAGGGGGCTGGGGAGGGGACCGGATTTTGAGGTTTGGTCTCATCACTTTAAGTGATGTTTTGGTTTAAGTATTACATGGAGTGTTTGAGAAAAGGGACCTTACAGCTCCAACTCCAACACGGCTTTGAGAGGGAGGGCGACAGGCCGAGACCAGAGGTGCTGGAGGGGACCAGTTCTGGGTAACTGCTGTTTCCTTTATTTCTAGCCATAGAGGAAAACAGGCTCTGCAGAGCCTGCTGCGGGAGAAGGCACGGGGGGTTCGAGCGCCCCCTCCTGTCGGACCCTCGGTGACCGCAGCCCTGCGACGCTCCTGCAGGAGGCAGGCCACACACAAAGGTTCACAGTGAAGTCTGCGGAGATCACCCCACGCCACAAGGGAAGAGGGTGCTGTGCCTGCGGAACACCCGCCACATGCTGCTGCTGCCCTGACCTGGCACCTGCTTCCGTGAGCTTCCCCCGGGCAGCAGTTTCGGGGTCTCTTACAACAGCGCGGCTACTGTCTGTGGCTCCCGAGGCCAACAAAGTCAGACACCTGACGGCTGGGAACGGGAAGGAGGGCAGGTCCCAGCTCGGGGCCACTGCCTTGGTCAGCCCCACACACGGAGCCGAGTGGGACAGTGGGGGGAGCAGGGCCACCAGGCCGCAGATACTCTCAGGAGACGCATTCACAATCAGGACACCTGCTCTGTTGGCACGGAGTCCAGGGGTGGCTGTCGTGTCATCGCTTCGTGTAGGTCCTGCCAGAGCTCCTACTCAGGCCACCCTTCGGGGTGGGGATCTTGCTTCCAGCCTTCGTCACCGAGGCCCCAGCCTTGGCTGTGGCTGGGCCTTTGCCTGGGGCGACAAGATAAAGCACGGGCCCCATGTCAGGAGGGAGACTGACACACGAATCAAGTGCATGCCCCAGTGACAGAGAGAGGCGGGTGTCAGCAGACACGGGAGGCAGAGCAGGAGGGGCTGGGACACTCCCGTTGCTTGTCTGTGGGAGCTGGCCTGACCAAGGCGGGATCAGCGGAGGACAGTGGTCACCCAGCCCTCAAGTGGCCACTGCAGGTGCACGTGACAGAGAAAGAGGAGGAACCAAGAGCTCAGAGGAAATGCTAAGGGTCAGAGGAACGACCATGGCCATTTGCCTACTTTTGGCTTCAAAAATTCAGCTGCTGCCCTGGTCGGTGCGGCTCGGTGGTTGAGCGTTGACCTATGAACCAGGGGGTCACCAGTTTGAGTCCTGGTCAGGGCACATGTCCAGGTTGTGGGGTCCTCCCCGACTAGTGGGCATGCAGGAGGCAATCAGTGACCCTTATCAATGCTTCTACCTCTTCCTCTAAGTATATTAAAAAAAAATTTCAGCTGCAGAAACAGGAAGGGCAGCCCCATGACCAGAGTGTCACTGCCTGGCTGTGACCTGGGCAGCCCTGCCTGTGCCTCATCTTTGGTCATAGGACGGCATCAGGCCAGGTGAGCAGCCCCTGCACAGCGGCTGCCACAGGTGCTCACACACCCGCTCCCATGCCCATCCCCTCGCTCATGGCCTCGCCTTTCTCACACTCCTAAGATAGGGCTGCACCCCAGGCCTTCTAGTCAAAACAGTTTTCTAATGAAAAATATAATTTTCTCGTAAAGCACTCTAAGTGGCATAAATCTCTACCTTAAGGAACCGGCACCAGGACAGAAAGCCACTGACTGACGCTCCCCTGGCTGAGTGGCAGTGGAGGGATGCGCCCCAGCCTGTCCTCACCTTGTGGCGGAGCCGGAGCCTTGTGCAGCACATGCGTCCTACGCAGGTTCATCACGCAGCCCATGGGGCCCATCAGATGAGCTTTCCACGCCTGAAATGAGAGGCCACAGCATGGAACCAGATGAGGGCCTCTGGCCCTCTCATAGCCCACATCACCTGCTGTTAAAGATGCAGCCAGAGGCGCCCACAGCCAGCTGCTGTATGCAGGCGCCTCACCCCCTCGGAGCCTCAGCCCGACCCGAGTTACAAGACACTGCCTGCCTCCCAACCCCTCGAGCACAGCAGTAAGACTGGTCACGTGGGAGGGTGTGGGGGGGGGGCAATGCAGCTCGGGGACTGTGGTGCCTCTAGGAGCTGAGGGCATGAGAGCAACCCCTGGATGACAGCCAAAGAAGTCTCAGCCCTGGCAGTGTGCTCAGTGGTCAGAGCGTCAGCCTGAGCAGACAGTTCACGGGTTCGATCCCAAGCCCTGGTTGGGGCGCGTGTGGGAGGCAATCGGTCAGTGTGTCTCCCCCCTACCCCGCCCCTCTGTAAAAGTCAAAGGAAAACCTTTGGAGGATTAGAGTTAACACCAGGGCCGGTCTTACGACGACAGACCAGTCCTGCTGGCCCTGGGAGGGGCTTGGAACAGGATCTTTGAGCCACAGGCGAGAACGTGCCCGACACTGCCTGTGGGGCCCTGAGCAGAGAATCCCGGCAGAGCATGTCCAGACTCCTGAGCCACAGAAACTGAGGCTCTAAGCGGGCATTTAAGCCCCTCAGCGTGTGGGCATCTGCTGCGCAGCGGAGACCAAGTCTCGAGGAAGCCTGCGAGCCCCGCCCGGTAGTGTCTGCTGTGGGAGCCCTCACGCCAGCTGCTAGGACGAGAGGAGACAGGGAGGCTGCAGCTCACGTGTGCGCCGCTCAGGAGAGGGAGAGGGGATAGGAGGCCCGACGCCCACTCCACACTGAGTCCCAGGGCAGGAAGGAGGGCCTGGAACTGGACAATTTCCAAACCAGACCAGGCTCACTTTCCCTAATCAGAAGGGACTAGAGTGCTACAGAATGTGGCTGTGATGCCAGCTAGGGCCCGGCACAGATGGGAGACAGTGGCTCCCTCAGGGCACCTGTCCCCCAGGGCTGATCCTCCTCACAGCCAGTTACAGGTGCAGTGGAGGGACGTGCAGCCAGGCACCAGAGGGAACACTGCTCAGACGTGACCGTGCTGGCATTGCGGGCCAGGCCCTCACCTCCTCTCCAGGGGCGAAGTTCTCATGGCACAGAGGGCACCGGTTGGCCAGCTTCTCTGGCTTGGCAGCTGAAATGGGGTGAGGCAAGACTCAGTTATCCTGCAGAACCTGGGCAAGGGGCAGAGCGCCAAGCTGTGCCAGCGACGCCCGGCAGACACGGCCAACAGCCTGCCTGCAGCTGGGCCTCCCCTGGGGCGGGTCCTGGGGACACAGGCACCGAGGAGACACCCACGGGGATGCGTGGGCTCTCAGGGAGGCAGACACAGGCACGCGGGGAGCACTCACGGTCACAGTCCTTTGCTTTGAGGTGCCCAGGCAGCTCCTCCTTGGGGATGGCCTCGCTGCAGCGGTAGCACTTTCCAAACCCATCCTTTTTGTCGCATTCTGTCAGCAGGTGCTCTGTCAGACTGGATATTTCAACCACCTGGGTCCGAAATACAGAACACACTGCTGAGCACACCGACGAATATCCTGCCCTTGTCCCCGAGTCCCGGTGCCGAGACCGTCAGAGCTCCCGCTGGTCAAGGTGAAGGTTGGTGCACACCGCATCCGAGTCCTCCCCTGCCGAGCTCCTGTGGTCATTTATTTACGGGGCTCAAGACCCATGTCCTTGGTGTCCTAGTATTAAGGATGCTGTTGCACTGCCTCAGTATCTAGGCTGCTGCTAAGGGCTGGGGTGGGGGGAGCTACGGCTCAGTGCAGTGATGTTTGTTAGGGGAGACAGCTCAGAGGCAATGTCCTGGCTCCCGGCACTTCTGAGACTGTGCAGAGAAACGGGCACAGGGCATGTCACGGGCGCCCACCATGCTGATGGCTTTGACAGGAGGGGTCATGTGCACTTGAGCTTCATGCTGTGGGCTTGTACCCCCTGTGGAGCCCCAGGTGTGCACGCTGGGTCCAGGAGTGGGCACTGCCAGCCCCAGACAATGGGGTCTGTTGAAGCTGGACAGAGCCCCGAGGGGACAGGGGAGAGCATCCTCCTTGGAGTCCTTCAAAAAAAGGTCCACTGAGCCCGGCTTGTGTGGCTCAGTGGTTGAGCGTTGACCTATGAACCTGTCAGTTCAGTTCCCGGTCAGGGCACCTGCCGGGTTGCGAGCTTGGTCCCCAGGAGGCGTGTAGGAGGCAGCTGATCAATGACTCTCATCATTCACGTTTCTCTCTCCCTTCCTCTCTGAAATCAATAAAAACACCAAAAAAAACCGGCCTACTGCACCAGAGAAGGGGTTAAAATTGGATAGGAGGAGATTTCAACAGCACACAGAAGGTGTTAACCACGGGGGAGACGGAGGCGGACGGCGAGCGGATGAAAGCTCCTGCTCGTCCAGGGACACGGCAGTGGAGAGGCCAGGCCTGGCGGCGGTGGCCCAGCGCACAGAGCTCACACCAGGTATGTAGAGAGGGACAAGTCAGTAAGAAAAGACTGGCAGCTGACCAACACGGGCGAGAGACGAGCACATGCTTCACAGAGGGCAGCCAGGGGGCCCAGTCTGCCATCGGCAGGACATGTGGCCCGGAAACCCGGTGCAGCCACAGGTTCCATGCCCTGTTCCCAAAGCAGGAGACTGGATGGGTAAGTTGTGATAAAGAAAACAAACATGGCACAGAATCGTTACATACTGTATGATTCTATCGACACAGAACTCAAAGCAGCAGCACTAATTGTAGTGTCAGAACCCAAGACTGTGGCTGGACCTTGAGGGCCACCTTGGCCTGGGTGGTGGTTACACAGGTGTCTATCCTGGGATGATTTTTAAAAAAAATGTATTTAGAGAGAGGGAGAGAAACATCAGTGACGAGAGTCACTGACTGGCTGCCTGCCCCACGCCCCCGAAACCCGGGCATGGGTCCCAACCAGGAACTGAACCAGTGACCTCTGGGTGCCCGGGATGATGCTCGGCCGCTGTAAGCAGTCACGCGTGTGCCAGCGTGACGGACAGCCCGTGGCTTCCCACCGCGTCCCCTGAAACTCTACTCTGGAAGGGCGAGCGCTGCGTGGCTCCGGGCGCCTGACCTGCCTGCAGTGGCCACATCTGGTCAGCATGAGGCACTGCTTCCAGTAGTGCAGGTCCAGGCCCTCCTCCGTGAAGGCGGCGCTCCTCTCTCCGCAGAAGATGCACAGGCTGCAAGAACGGCAGGGGGAGGCAGGAGGGCACAGGGCCGGTCAGCTTCTGGCTCCTTCCTCCTCGGGGGCCTCAGGGGCCTGGAGGCAGCAGCTGGGCCTAGCCGGAGGGGTTTTGGGGGGGCAGCTGGTCGCTCCTCTGTTAAACTGCCCTGAAGGGGTCCACCAAGTAGGTGTCAGAACTTCCCTAAGACCCCTTCCAGTGCTAAGTGTCAGGATGCTCGAGCAGGAAGGATCCTGTCACAGCAAAGACAAGGCAGAGACACGTCCTGGAATCCCTGTGGGCCTGTCCTGGCCCCACCCAGGAGAAAGCTCGCTGCTGCTCTAACGTTGTGCCCGGACCAGCACGTCTCACACAGGCCACTGCCGTCTGTGGGATGAAGACAGGGCAGTGCCCGACTTACGGAGTCCAGGCGATGGGTGTGGAGGGAACCTTCCCAGCTTTACACATTACCGAGAAGAGCCGGCTACTTTACAGGACCCTAGTGAGCTGGGAGAAGACACCTATCCTGCAGCGTTTTACACGGTGAGGTCCGTCCCTAGTCACTCCGCGCTGGGTGCAGCGCGCTCCACTCACTTGTCCAGGTAGGGGTTCTCGGGAACTTCAGGAGCACCCGGTGGGGCTGCGCTCCTTCCGTCAGCGTCTGAAAAATTAAACAGGAAGCAACTGAAGTAACTTTTGTGAAAAATATTTTCAAAGTTTTAGTGACCGGTTTTTTAAAGTTAGTAACATTTCATGCGAAATGTATTTTAAAAAGCACAAGTGAATGGAGTGGACGTATTTACAATCCACCCCAAGTGCCTGAAACGCAGCAGAGACACCTGCCGGGTGATTTCTACCAGTGGTTTCTACAGCTTCCGACGTGCATTTTACGTACCCAGACTCTCTGCCTTCCCAGCCTCACTTTCTTTTTCCTAAAATGAAACCAGAGAGATCAGGACAAGTGCATGCAGTTTGATCCTCGAAGCGTTCTCAGGTTTTGCTCTATAGTTCCTGCCAGCACGCGGTGCCACCTGCCTGCAAGCGGCACCGTCCCACCAACATGCGGTGCCTCCCCATCAACAAACTCAAGTGTCTGCTGCAGTCTCCCTCCCCTCCAGGTTCTTGTCCCGAACTCCAGGGAAACCACCATTTGCCAAGGCCATCTCCCCTCCACCATCAGTGTCCACCCTCACAGGGGCTCAGCGACACACGATTCCTCAGCCCTTCGTCTGGCTCCCACGCACCTCACTTCCTCCCGGCTGTGTCTTTTTGGATCGGACCTGTCCCCTCTGCTTCTGCCTAGCCTAGGAGCTCCCTCCCAGCCTGTGCAATGAGCCCCACGAGCAGGGCTCAGCCTGGCCCCGCTGCTCACTCAGCGCCTCTACTGGGGCCTCTAAGTCATCTTCACCCTCATTTCACCAGCCAGCCCTCCTGCTCTCCCCACACCTGCTCCTCAGGGGGCTGTCATGGTCACTGTGTCCTGTCACCCAGTCCCACAGGCCTCAAAACCCAGGGAGATGGACGGGTGCTTCCCTCCCTTCCCTCTCCCTACAAAGCCTCCATTAGACATATCAGCAAACCCTGGGCCTGGCTTTGCCCTTCGCTCCCCACCCCACCACCTCCACTTCTGACAGCGGCTCCAGGCTCCTGCTCCTGACCGAGGCCGGAGTGGCACTCAGGCCGCAGTGCAGGGACTTCCTTTAGCTCAGAACCCCCCGTGGCTTCCTGGGTCCCCCTCTCCACTCCTCTCCCATGTCCACGCGGCTCCTTGTGCCCAGCCGCTCTGGCATCCCCACTGTCCCCTCCTCTCCCTCCAGGCCCCTGGCCACGCTCCCCGTCCCGTGTGCCGTTTTCTTTTCTCCTCGGCACATACCACCCGGTCACACTCTCTCCCTTACTTATCTGGGAGACTGCGCCCTCTGGAGGAAGTGAAGGCACAGGAGAGCAGGATGCTTGTCTATTCACAAGGGTATCCCCAGCATCCAAAACAGTGCTGGCACTCAGTGGGTGCTCAGCAGACATGGAAGGCCCTCCAACAGAGTGTGGGTGACGACCGGCACCATCGCCAGGCACCTCTGTGGGGACACACGGCATAGAGCCCAAGGCCAGGCCGCAGCAGGGAGCCTGCCCAGCCGAGCAAGGACAGGGTTCAAAAGCAGAGCTTCTAAACCGACCAGGTCGTGATCCTGCGCGAGTTGCTTTGTCTCCCAAGTTTATTTCATCTGGAGACTTGGGAACAGCGTCAATGGCTCCCAGGGGAGCCCGAGCACAGCTGAAAGCCCAATGTCCCGACATCTGTGTGGGGGAGGCACTGTCCCCGCCTGGTCCTGACGCCTTCCTCCTTCCCAGCCCTGAGGGGCCCCATCTTTCTTTCCCTAGTTACCCTGACGTTTAGCTGAAATGTTACTTTCTGCCACAGGCACCCAGCACAAGCTCAGGCACATTTTCATTCCTTCTCTTCATTCTAACCCGTTCCCTCTTTCTAAAGAGGAAGAGGTCAGGGCACCTAGCAGGTGACCTGCCCACCTACCGGACTCTGGGTGCACAGCTGGGCGGTGGCTCCAGGCACAGTGGACACCTTCACCAGCACCCCCACCCCCTCCCCTTCTTCCTTTCTCTTTAAAAGCAATTTTCTTTTCCCTAAGGAATATCAGTCATGAGAATCAGTGGCATATACAACAGACTGAAATCCCAAGAGCCGGGAGTTTGACCCCATAACGCACACATCTCCTGCAGGCTCGAGGCTGAGAACTTCTCGAGATGAACGTTTGCCCGAAACCTTGAACCTTAACACATGGACATCAGGGCTCCAGGTTCAAGTTCACTTTTCCCGCCTACCTCTGACAGGCTGGGAGCTGCGGGGAGTACCCTGACCCTAAGCTGCATGTGAACATCAGCCCAGGTGAACCTGGCCCATGTGAACATCAGCCCCACGTGAACATCAGCCCCACGTGAACCTGGCCCACGTGAACATCAGCCCCACATGACCATCAGCCCCACGTGAACCTGGTCCACGTGAACATCAGCCCCACGTGAACCTGGCCCACCTGACCCTAAGCTGCACGTGAACATCAGCCCACGTGAACCTGGCCCACCTGACCCTAAGCTGCACGTGAACATCAGCCCAGGTGAACCTGGCCCATGTGAACATCAGCCCCACGTGAACATCAGCCCCACGTGAACCTGGCCCACGTGAACATCAGCCCCACATGACCATCAGCCCCACGTGAACCTGGTCCACGTGAACATCAGCCCCACGTGAACCTGGCCCACCTGACCCTAAGCTGCACGTGAACATCAGCCCACGTGAACCTGGCCCACCTGACCCTAAGCTGCACGTGAACATCAGCCCAGGTGAACCTGGCCCATGTGAACATCAGCCCCACGTGAACATCAGCCCCACGTGAACCTGGCCCACGTGAACATCAGCCCCACATGACCATCAGCCCCACGTGAACCTGGTCCACGTGAACATCAGCCCCACGTGAACCTGGCCCACCTGACCCTAAGCTGCACGTGAACATCAGCCCATGTGAACCTGGCCCATGTGAACATCAGCCCCACGTGAACATCAGCCCCACGTGAACATCAGCCCCACGTGAACATCAGCCCCACGTGAACTGTGAGCCCACCTAGACCTAACCCACCTGGCCCCCGGCCCCACGTGAACCTGGCCCCCCGTGACCCTGGCCCACCTGGACTTGAGCCTGCATTTCCTTCAGTGCTGCCAGCTGCCCTTGTAAAACTTTAATTTCTTCTTTCTTTCGTTTTTCCGCTTCTTCTGTAGCCGCTTTGTTCTGTGCCTGGTGTGAGAATTATTTTTCCATTAGAACAGCTGTTTAGAGGACTCTTAGGAATTGGGAGACAAATTACATAAGTTATGTTTTGTACACACTACGCTAGTCACTGAGGCTAATTGTGCGAGAGTGAAATGTAAGCCTCCAAATTCATTTAAGAAAAGTTTCCTGACAGCTGAGACGGCAGCTGTCCTCATGCCTTCATGTTACAGGCGGGGAAACCGAGTCTGGCAGGGGCAGGGGCAGGGGCAGGGGCAGGGTCTCGGCGCCAGGTCTCCTGTACATACGGATCCTTGAACAACCATCCGTTTACGCCCACGCCTGACCACGTCCTCAGCACAGGACCAGCCCGTGAGGCCGTGAAGGTCAACTCACCCTGATTTCTGTGTCTGTGGGTCGGCCATCTATTTTAGCAAACCCCTCAAAAATGGTTTTGAAGAGCAGGCTTTTGCGTGCGGCGCTGTCGTCAGGAGGCAGGTGCTCCAGCGCGAGCGCCCGGTGCTCCCTGTACACGTCCAGGATCACCCTGACCGCCGTCTCCCGGACCTCGGGCACCCTGTGCTCCAGGGCGCGCACTGCGAACTGAACACGTAGGAGAAACAGGCACTACAGAAGCCTGGAAACGGAAGGGAAAGCGCCCCCAGAATCCCAGCTTACTGTGTTCACAACCGCTTTGAGGTAGGTCTTCCTTGGGCTCAGCATTAAGTATTACAAACCACTTCAAACACAGGGAGGAAGCAACTCTGTGCGTCAACCACCGATTAACCAGTGTTGTAAGTCCTGCTTTCAGGAATAAAACACTGGCCATCGCACCGAGCCCTGTGTCTGTCCCCAGGGGCGTCTGTCGGGCTGCCCAGGAGCCCGCACACTGCGAGCTGCCCTCTGGCATGTCTGAGGTCGGGAGGAAGGGGGTCCTGGGCTGGCAGCTTCTCCCCAGAGTGCCCGTGGTTTCGTCAGCTTGTCTGGAGCAGAGGACTGACTGCATGCAGGCCCACCACGCACGCTGCACACTCAGCCTGCTCCTGCCCAGGCTTTCTGCCCCAGGATTTCCCAACCTCGCTGAGCACCTTGGACAAAGGTCTGTCCACTCAGAACCACACACACAGGGTGACATGGGTGCACCAGTTGGGCAGATGAAACCCTGCTTTTCCTGAAGTTGCTCATTTGTTCACCCAACAAACTGGCTCACCTGCCTCAGGCGCCCTCTCCAGTGCTGAGGCCCCAGTGGTGCGTGGAACAGGGGTGCTCACCTTCATCACGTTATCCACGGTGAAGCCCGTGCCGTCGGTGCCCAGGTCTTTCAGCAGCCGGGCCAGCAGGTCCATCTGACTCATGGCCAGGTGCGCAGAAGCATTGGCCTTCAGTGGCTGCACCAAGTGAGACGGGATCACCTGGAGAGACTTCACCTCCTTACACAGGGCCATCTCCTGTAAGAACCAACACGATTTATTCACTTGTCCTGGGAGATGCCAGAGGCAACTTAGCACAGTTTACTAGGATCCTCAAAGCAAACACTGAAGGAAAGAATCGGCAGCGAAACATGGCAGCAACAATGGGAGTGAAATGACTGATCCATAAGCTCACACCTCTATCTGGGACACAGCAGCCTCTGCCAGTGTGGCTCAGTGGTGAGAGCCAGCCTGCGGACTGAAGGATCCTGGGTTCGATTCTGGCCAAGGGGCAGGTTTCATCCCTGGCCCGGGTTGGGGCACATGCAGGAGGCAACCAATGGATGTCTGTCTGTCTCTCCCTCCCCTCTCCCTGGGAACCCCCTTGGGTGAGGATTAAAAACAACAAAAACAATCTTCAAAATTTTTAGACTGAAATTAGTTTAAATCGCAAACTTAAAAAATCCAAAGTACAGTTTAAGTCAGATATGAATACAGTAACTCAGTAGTAGAAATTGTAAAAAAATCCCCTCACTGTCACTGTCAGAGAAACTGAGCACTCTCAGGGTCCTCTGAGGCTTCAGAAATGCCTGCAGCACTCACATCCCCCCTCCTACAGCTACTCCCGCAGTTATAAATACCTGCGGGTTATCCACTTACCTCGGAATACCGACCAGGGCCACAGCAC